CCCTCATTCAGATGGCTCTAGGTGCGTGAACTGGGTCACATAAGGGAACTGGATAGAGATCATGATTCTCGATGGTGGCAGCAAGTCAAGTTCACCAGTTTTTTTTTGTTTTTTTTTACTATAAACCTCAAGTAAGACTTTAGTAGGTTGCCCATTTATATCAGTCAGTCCTACAAACCCCATGACCAATTAGCCACTAACAAAGATCCCTACAGGTCAAACCATTTTGATTACTACTCAGGCCCTATTGTCCAATAGGCTAACCAAGTGTACATTGATTTCAGCAGTTAAATGGTATTAAGGACCCCATTTTAATGATGCCATCTCCAACTCAACTTTCCTGATTCTCTAGGCCTCGGCATTCCTTCTACATTAAATCAGGGAAGTTCTGACATTTCAGCATCATTTAATGTAGCCCTCACCTGAGTCCAGGTTTCAGTCCCTCAAACTGCCTGAGCTAAATTCTGGATTCAGAATCCAGAATCTCTGGTAGTTATATAAATAAATTCATCATCAATCCAAAACTGCATTCTTCCCTCCCTGCTCTAGAATCCTTAGACCCTAATCCCACACATCCCCTCAAGTTTCTGTGAAATTAAATTAACAAAATCTTACAAATCTTTTGGCATTTTAGCTATATCGTTCAAGGATGGACTTTCTTCTTATCCCCCTGGGGCATCTTGGAATTTGACTAATTTTAGGTCTAGTGGAATTGAGGAGGAGAAGGGCATGAAGATATCTGGTATCCCCTTTAAAGGTAACTACCTCTGATAAGATTATTTCAGTCTCCAAGAACAGCAGGACTAGCTTTATCAAGAGGGAGGAGAGACTGCTTCTGTTGGAAGGGAAACTCAGTGGGGTCTGCATGATCTAGGTATTTGAAGTCATTTGACTCTACCCAAATATCCCCATTCAAATTCTCAGTTTCATCTTTTTCTATCAATGCTTCATCTTCACCTAAGACACCTAACGTGACTGTGAATTAAATTTACACTGGAATTTAGCAACCTGCAGTATCTGATTCTTGGCTACATCAGCCATGTGGCTATAAGAGATGAAGCAGAAAGCATGGACTACTCGTGATTGTGACCTGAGATTAAAAATTCATCGTCATTTTGTTTCTTTAAGCAATTCATTATTGCTTAAATGTAGATATACCATAGCTATGTAAACTATTACCTTATTAATGATTTTTTCAGCGTGTGCAATAAATTACAGACTCAGGCCCAGATTGAAATTAGAAGAGATTCTATACAAGTATTGCACCTTACTAGAATGATAATCAATTGTCTAGACCCTGGATATGAGGGCAATTTGAGTTCATCCGAGGAGCCCTGGTGGCTCAATGGTTAAGTGCTCAGCTGCTAACCAAAAGGTCAGCAGTTTGAACCCACCAGCTACTCTGAGGGATAAAGATATGGCAGTCTGCTTCCATAAAGATTACAGCCTTGGAAATCCTATGGGGCAGTTCTGCTCTGTCCTATGGGGTCGTTATGAGTCGGAATCGACTCAACAGCAGTAGGTTTGGGTTTGAGTTCATCTAAGGCATCTGGTTCCTATTGCATTGGGCCCATTGCAGCATCTCAGGACCTGAGGTCAAACCAAAGTCCTGTAGTCCTTAGGCTGGGGAGATGCCCTAGCCATCGTGGCTCAGAGGACAAGAAGACCCTTTTCTCGCTGGCCCACACGTCTGCGCATCTTCCAGCCTTGCAGGGCATCCCCTCAAGGAGGGGCTAGCTTATTTACATAATGAAAACTGACAGAATCTAATGTGACATCTGCATAGATGTAATCTCTTTTAAATAAACAGTACTAACAAATGTTTATGGTCAAGAAGCTTGCTGTATTTTAACACGAAGCAGTTTGGCCATGACATTCAATTTAAACATCCTGAAATTGAGTTTTCCAGTTGATGTGTGAGGCATTTTTTTTCACAACTCACTAAGTCCATTTGCCTTCACCTTCTCAAATGTTTAAAAGAGCAACATGTTTTAATGGAAATTACAAATTTGCCTATGTCCTCTGTCAGGCTCCTTTACAACTGCTATAATCATTTCTTTAGGCTAAAAATTCTATTCTGCTCATGTATTTCTAACCTGCAATCATTCTGAAGACCAGGATACAATTTTAAAGGCTTGAGGTTCCAAGCTGGAATATGAAATTTATTGTGTGGCTCCAGCTCTGTGCAAATTTTTCCACAATTTTGCCCAAAAAAACAGAGGCCCATCAGTACCCTGATCAAGTAGCCCTGTCATTACTGTTACTTTCAGAGTTGGAACAAAATGCACCCAAAGTTTCCTCTGACCCAGGACTTCTAGAGGGTGAATTTAAAGTAGCTGCCTCTAAAAATGTTTTAATTGTGGCTTGTACAAACATAGAACAAACAAAGCACCCTTTCTCCAGAAAGGTAGGTGCCAACCACATACTTTCCTCAGAGCTGTTCCCTAAGGTCAGCCAGTAAGATAAACGTTCTCATCCTTGGCTCAGTAAGTCATTTAAAGCAATCCCCTCCTCTGAACAGCACTACCTAAGCTCTGTGTGCAGGAGATTTAGTGAATGATAAACAAGGAAAGCAGGAACTCTGCCAGCCACTTTTTTTTTTCATTATGTAAAATTTATTTGTAAACTAGAGTTAAGAAAACAGAAATCATCATATGGAGATAATTATTAGTTGTATCTTGGTATATTTATTTCTAGCATTTTTCTATTTCTAAATATAAATATGAGGAGCCCTGGTGGCACAGTGGATAAGTGCTCGGCTGCTAAGTGAAAGGTTAATGGTTCGAACTCACCAGCTGCTCCACAGGGGAAAAATGTGGCAGTCTGCTTCCGTTAGGACTACAGCCTTGAAAACCCCATGGGCAGTTCTGCTGTGTCCTATAGGGTCTCTATGAGTCAAAATCGACTTGAAGGCAATGGATTTAAATACAAATATATGTGTACAAAACTAGAGTTTTGTGGCCTCTATATTTCTTTTCATGCTCTTTTTTTATTGTGGTAATAATATATATGACAAAACATTTGCCATTTCAACATTCTTTGCATGTACAATTCAGTGACATTAATTATGATTATCATGTTGTACAAACATCACCACTATCCGTTTCCAAATTTTTCCATCACTCTTAACAGAAGCTCAGCGCCCCCTAAACAATAGTTCCTTTTTCCCACCTCCCTCCCGCTTCAGGTAATCACTAATAATCGTTGGTCTCTATACATTAGCCTACTCTAGATATTTCAGATAAGTGCAATCGTACTGTATTTGTCCTTTCATAACTGACTTATTTCATTCAGCATAATGCTTTCTTTTTCTCATGAACTGTTTATTGATTTACATACAGTATTTAAATCTATTCATTGAACATCAAATTGTGACTCTCAGAAATGTTACAGTCTGGCCTCTAACATAGATTGCCCTCTTTTAAACTCTCACTTTCTTTTCACAGAAAATAGCATTTTAAGCATAGGATTTTTTTTAATTTTTTAATATTTATTTTGTTGTTGTTGAGAAAATACACAGCAAAACATACACCAATACAACAATTTCTACATGTACCATTCAGTGACACTGATTATATTCTTTGAGTTGTGCAACCATTCTCACACTCATTTTCTGAGTTGTTTCTCCCCCGTTAACATAAATCCACTGCCCCCTAAGTCTCCTATCTAATCTTTTGTGTTGGTGTTGTCAATTTGATTCCAGGTAGACAGTTCTTAAAAGAGCGTAATGCGCTCAAGGCAGACATTTTTTTACTAGTTAAGCTAAACTACTGTTTGGTTTTAAGAAGACCTCATGGGATATTTTTGGTTTGAGGTTTAAAGATTATCTCAGGGCAATAGTTTCAGGGGCTCATCCAACCTTCATGGCTCCAGGATGTCTGGAGTCCATGAGAATTTAAAATTCTGTTCTGCATTTTTCCCCTTTTTATCAGGATTCTTCTATGGAATCTTTGATCAAACTGTTCAGTAATGCTAGCCAGGTACCATCCAGTTCTTCTGGTCTCATTGCAAAGGGGTATCAACATAACGTTTTCAAGCTTCATCCGTGTTGTAGTATGTATCAAGACTTTGTTTCTCTTTATGGCTGAGTAATATTCCGTTGTATGTATTACCACATTTTGTTTATCCATTCATCTGCTTATGGACAATTAGGCTATTTCTACCTTTTGGCTATTGTGAATAGTGCTGCAAATAACATTGGTGTACAAGTGTCTGTGTTCCTGCTTTCAATTCTTTTGGGAATATACCTAGGAGTAGAATTGCTAGATCATACAGTAAAATTCTGTTTAACTTTTTGAGGAAACACCAACTATTTTCCACAGTACCTGCCAGTCACTTTTATGGAAAGAAAGTTAAGTAAAGGCAGAAATATTCCAGACTCTAACTCTTTGCTAAGTGTAACTTCAAAGCTGTCCTTTAATACTTTCAAGCTCAGTTTTTTCATCAATAAAATTACGGATCACATATTGCCTCCTACCTTAGGATTCAGATAAGAGGATAAGCCAGTGTTGGTAAAGCAACTTGAGGTAAGCTCAAAATATTATTAGATTATCTAGAAGCCTACATAATGCTTAGTTATAAGCCACATCCATAAATCTCTCAAAATCCTCAAGGGAGACACACAGTTTACACATCTAGAGCAGCCCTAGTGAACAAAAGGGAGGAGGGTAGGTGTGCTGGTCTCCAAGACAGAGGGGGACTCCATTTAGAACTGGTTAATAAAGCACTTTACTCAACTTCAGAGAGTCTATACTCTTATCAATAAACTGGTCTATTCCTACCCTGTCTACCTCTCAGGGTTATCGTGAGGATGAATGTTAGAACAGGATAGTGGAGATGAAATATCATGGTTAATAAAGCCTAGAGAAAGTACTTTATAAATTGGAAAAGTGTAGTTACAAATGAAACATCATTATAATTTCAGGAGGCCACTTCAATGACAAGACTCATGTCATAGCACAGAGGGGCAGAGAGATAGCCATGACTTGGAGCCTCTTTACCTGATGGTGGTGCCTTGCAAACGGTCTATCTTCTTATTGAGCTCTGCGATGATGCTGTGGAGTTCCGTGATGCGTTCCTCGTACCGAAGTGTCGTTCGCTCCTGGACATCCTCATGCTCTCTCATGAGGTGGGACTGCTCACACTAGGATCAATAGAATGGAAGTGCCAATGAGTTGATGCCCCTATAGATGAGTGATTCTAAGTTTTATGGCCTCGGCCCATCACAACCTCAATACAGAGTATGCCCAAAATAAAACACCCACCTGCTCACTTGTCTGGCAATCCTAGGAATCACATCAATAGCTAAATTTTACAATATCCGTGGTAGACATCTGAGTTTTCTCCTTCCTAACACTCGTTCTGTCTTTGGGGGAAACACTGCACACAGTCTTTGTGAGACTATTCAAGTAGTGGGCATATGGTCCAAACTGGACTCAGATATCTTCTTCTGAGAACTGAGTCTTGAGTGGATGAACCTAATGCTGCTTAGAATTGATTCTCCTGACTGAGCGTCCTGAAGAGACTGTCCCTTAGCTCCTGTTCCCATATCCCTAGAGCTTGCTTCCAGAGTTCCTTTACGGCTATTCAGTGTCCCTTTTTACCAATCGATTCCTTTTTTGCTGATTTTGTCAGAGTTATGTGTCAGCTGCTTTTTGACTTAGTAATCTTAACTGTTATAACCCTATTTCTTATCTGGCTGTGTTATCTGCAGTCATAATGCTTTCCAATATCCTTTCCCACCACACTATAAGCTCCTCAAAGGCAGTGACTAAAAATTTTCATTATTTAGTGCTACCAGTTGCCATTGAGTCAATTCTAACTCATGGAAACTCCATGTGTGTTAGAGTAGAACTGTGCTCCAAAGGGTTTTCAGTGGCTGATTTTTTCCTAAGTAGATTGCCAGGCCTTTCTTCTAAGATGCCTCTAAAACCAAAACCAAACCTATTGCTATTGAGTCGATTCTGACTCATAGTGACCCTTTAGGACAGACTAGAACTGCCCCATTGGATTTCCAAGGCTATAAATCTTTCCAGAAGCAGACTGCCACATCTCTTTCTATTTCTCAGCTGGTGGGTCCAAACTGGTTAGCAGCCGAGTGCTTAACCACTGTGCCACCAGGGCTCGTAGGGTACCTCTAGATGGACTCAAACCCCCAACCTTTCGGTTAGCAACCAAAAGCGGAAACTTTGCATCGCCCAGGGTCTCTATAAGCACCTGGCCTATGGCTAGTTTACTATGGACAATCTGTAAGTGCTTGAAATGAATAAATTGCAATGTCATCAGTGTCACGATGGCTACTTTGCAGAAATAATAACAAAAGAGGCTCAGGAGCTTTCCTTATTCAGCATTTGATGGACTAAGAGGCAACAGATGCTATAAAAACATTTTTGTAACCAGAGTTTAAATTCTAAGGAACCCCTTTCACCTCTTCCTCTTTTCTCCACCCTCCTGAGCCTCCCTCCAACCCCTACCAGTCATTGTGCAGCTAATCTAATTTACATAATAAAGAACACTCCTCAGCAATGACACAATAGTCCAGCTTATGTCTCTGTCTACTACATTTGGTCTCGATTAATTTCATGTCTAGCAGAAGAATTCTAATTTCATTTTTAACAAGGTTTTTTTCTAATACCAAGAGCCTACTTTGCAGGTTTGCACTGTCAGCTGGTAGCAGGCAGGACAGGGTAAGACTTCTCACCTACTACCTCTAACGCCCTCCTCCACTTCCAATAGCATAGCACAGAAGCTGCTGGAGCAGGGACAAAAAGCCTTCAAAGTTAAGCAGAACAATACACTAAGCGTAACTCAGTAGTGAAAAAGAAGTACTCAGCAAAGAAGCCTGATAAATACTGTTGGCATAAATCATGGCAGGGACCACACCTACGAACACGGCCCTGAACATCAGCTTGATCAGTATTAAAGAGGTTACTGCCTGGGGGGTTGCTCAGAGCTCCAGAAGTAAGGTAGGAGGCATGGAGTAGTACTTTCAGAGAAATGGTGACATTAATTACTGTTCTTTGTGACAAGCTGAAACATCAAATAACTTTCACTCAAGGTCAAGTGCTTAGCTGTTAACCAAAAGGTTAGCTGCACGAACCCATCCAGTGGCCCCTTGGGAGAAACACCTGGCGATCTGCTCTTATAAAGGTCACAGCCTAGAAAACCCTACGGGGCAGTTCTACTCTGTCACATGGGGTTATTATGAGTCGAAAATCGACTTGAACTAGATAGTAGATAAGAATTATCTCAGGTGAAGGGAAGGACAGCACACACTACAGGGGAAGTGAGCACAACTGGACTAAACCAAAGCTAAGAAGGTTCCTAAATACAATCAAACACTTTGAGGGACAGAGTAGCAGGGGTGGGGATCTAGGGACCATGGTCTCAGGGGACATCTAGGTCAACTGGCATAACAAAGCTTATTAAGAAAATGTTCTGCATCCTACTTTGGTGAGTGGCATCTGGGGTCTTAAAAGCTTGCTAAGTGACCATCTAAGGTGCATCAATTGGTCCCAACCACCCGGAGTAAAGGAGAATGAAGAACACCAAAGACACAAGGAAAGTATTAGCCCAAGAGACAGAAAGGGCCACATAAATCAGAGACTTCATC